TGGTACCAGGGATTGAACTCGGCTGAACTAAATCCCCAGCCCTGCTTTTTTTCTTTTGAGATCAGATCACTTATTAAAGTGTGCACTATGGCTGGGATGGGGGAAGCAAGGGAGGGGACCCGAAGATTGAAGTCCCAAACTAATGGAAGAAGGAGTGGGTGGAGGAAAAGCACTTCTCAAAAAGCGGGAACTCCAGGGAACCCACAGCTGCGGACCCCCAGGGACTGGTTAAAATCAGGGAAAAGGAAACGACTAAATTAGCCTTGACTATGAAAGGGTTTCTGAGTCTCCTTTTCGTGGGATGACATACAGTATTTGGATCCTAACATTTGGGCCAGTGAGCATCCCACAGCTGAGATGAATAAAATGGTGTTGGTGTCTTGGGGAACGGAATGAGAGCGTAAGGCAGACAGAATAGGACTTTTTGTTTGGCTCTAGGCACTCACAGTTTGGCTCTGGAACCACATTTTCCCTTGGCAGTTCAACAAGACAAGCGGCTAGTTGTAGTGAGGAACAGTCCAAGGAGTAGTCCAACTGCAGAGAACTGGTAGGACAGTGGGTCAGAAGTAAAAGTAACTGCAAGGTGCACGCAGAAAAGCTGCAGGTGGCAGTCACAGTACGTGGACCTGTAAAAGCAATAACAGTTTGAATGGTCAATCCAAAATAACTTTGGAGGTAAAATACACATTTTAATAATTATAGAAAATATGACAAAGGTAGGTTTAAGTCATAGAGATTTGTTTTGTTTTGGTACGGGGGATCGAACTCAGGACCTCGCATTTGCAAAGCAGGTGGCACAACCACTGAGTTAAATCCCCGGCCCCCAATAGAGAGTTTTGAATGCCAAGTTAATGAATTCTTGAAAGATGGGTAAGCAGGGAAGTGACATCATTACAGCTGTGCTTATGGGAGACTGGTCCCAGGGGAGCAGGTAGGTAGCTCTCGAAGTATTCTAGGCAAGAGGTTCTGAAGCAGGCAATGCCAATAAAGGAAAGAAGGGAGTTGATGGAGAGGACTTGGCAACAGTGGATGTGGGGGCAAGAGGGAAGTAGGAGTCAACGAAGGCTGAAGCACTAAGGCCCAAGATAAGTGGGGTTTTGAAGGTGCAGTTAAAAGAATTAGAAGGTACAGGGGGAGGGGCAAGTTTGGGAGAGGAACTTTTGAGTGGGACTTACTGAGATATGGGGACTTCATGTGAAGATTTCCATAAGGTATCAGAGATGTAGAAATTTTTTTTAACATAGGAGGAACAAGGCATTTAACACTGGTAATGATTTTAGCTGCTACTTAACAACAGGTACCTTCATGATCAAGGATTTCTGTTTCTCATTGTGTCCAACATCTCAGCTAAGACAAGTCTTACTAATAGCATATTATGGCCATGGTGAAAAGAGGGCACAAAATTCTATTTTAAAAATCTCTTGAGCTGGGTGTGGTGGCACACGCCTGTAATCCCAGCACTTGGGAGGCTGAGGCAGGAGGATTGCTGTGAGTTTGAGACCAGCCTGGGCTACATAGTGAGTTCCAGGTCAGTCTCAACTACATAGTGAGACCCTGTCTCAAAATAACAAAACAAAACAAAAAAACCCTCTTTCCTCCCATCTAGGAAGTTCCAGGATAGTGATAAAAACATGACTGACATTTTCTATAAAATGGAATACTACTCAGCCATAAAGAATGAGAAATTAGATTCACTCATAGGAAAATGGATACATATTGAGGATATACTCCTAAGTGAAATATATAACTCCCACATGTATAAATACTGAATAGTTTCTCTGGTGAAAAACTA